CATCGTCATCATCCTCAGCCACATTGACCATGCCGCTACCGGACGAGTGTAAAATCGACACTCTCAGAGGGGGCCACCATCGGTGGAATTCATTAACCCACTGCTGCATGACAGTCGCGGGGACGACTACTATGACGGGCTTGTCGAGCTTCTTGGTGTAGTGTAACGCCGCAACGAAAGCAATTGCTTGCACTGTTAAGCTTGTTAGTAAGATTGCGTTCATCTGTTACCAAAACTTCTTACCTGTCTTTCCAAGGCCCATCTCGTCCCCGATGATGCCACCTACGCCTTGCTCATAAAGCTCAGCAAGCCAATGAACGCCGGTCTTTTGATACGCGAACAGCGACGCATGAATGTCTCCCGGGAGCCTCAGCCCGTTACCGAATCCGTGGTCAGGCTGATCAGGCGAGGGTTTAAACCATTCCTCCTCGCCATTGTCTTCAATTGAGGCGTCGCCAGCAGCATTGGCACTTTGCTGTTGACGAGCTGCACTCCGTCTCCTGACCCAATCAGCAAGGCGTGCTTGGTAGATCGCCTCATTTCCATCGTCGACGCTGCTCAGGTCGACCTTTGTATTACCAACGGTGACTGTATTCTCCGCAGCCTTCTTATGCTTGTTCTTCTTATCCGTATTTGTGCCCTTCTTCCGCTTGCGACCTGTGGCTTCTTCCTCACTAGTGTCCGAAGCGTACTGGCTTTCAGCCGAACTCACAGTCGATGCATCGAATTCATCGGACGATGCTCCTTCATCCATCTTGCGTTTTTTTCTTGGTCGTAGAGAAAACTCGGTCTCAACGAATGCCGGAGCTGCTTCTGGATGTTCAGCAAAGCCTGGCATGCGCAATACTTGATGAGACTTTGGCTCTTCATCGTCGCTCTGGTATTCCTCCGCAGCCGCGTCTTGCTCGGCCTCGACAAGAACATCTGCTAGCTCGCCTTCGAAACCATCGGGTCGTTCGCCACCAATGTTGGCAAAGGGCGTGATCTTTCCGGTCCGGACGAGGTATTCTCGGTGCGACTCGCCGGCCAAGCGTTTAGACTTGCTTTTGACAGGATCCTCCACAATCGCAATCTCTTCCTGTCTCTTATCGATGCGAGCTTGGCAGTCCGAGATGTCGTTGATGGCATTCTCAATCTCTAAGTCCAGCTTATCGAGCTCCTTCTGTATGATCCGTGACTGATAAGGGTTACGTCGAGCTCCTTCCAGCTTCTTCCGTTGATCTACTCTTTTTGCCTCAAGTTTATCTTTAGTGGTTTCCAGCTTTTCAATGCGCTGCTTATCCTTCTTGTCTTCTGCCTCAATCAAGGCGGCGTTGGCCTGTGTTGTGATATCGCGCTCTAAATCATCTTGATCCCGGATATCGGCTGTGATAGTCCGCAAAAATGCCGCCTCGTCTCCCTCAAACTGAACTGCTGTGGTTCTGGGTGCATCTGCTTTAGTGCTAGAGGGTGCGCTTTCCTCACTTATCTTCTCGGCAACTATGCCGCCATCTTCTTTGTCGGACGACATCTTGAGATCCGATGACGGAGAGTTTTCATAAATCCATGCCCGATATTCCAGATTGCGAGCCCCAAGATCTTTGATGAGGCCGGTTCTGATCAGCGAGTTGCGCAACAGACAAACAGCAGTGTCGGTGGTTGAAAAATGGGAACGTAAGTGAAGTTGAGAATGGATATGAGCTCAGGTGGCGGACATGCCTGTAGGTACCAAGCTAAGTGAGCGACATGCAAGATCTGGATTCCAAGAAACCGTCGTGAGGATAATCGTGTGTGTTGTAAAGGTGACTCACTCCGGTGAGATTGTAAGGCAAAGATTCAGGACAGGCAGCAGCGCGTCAGGCTTGAGCGTTCACCAGCGATTCTCTCTGGAAAACGATGACGCCACGGCAAGGCAGGAGCGAACGGTTCGCGCAGTCAGCTGCTCTGAACAGGGATCTTAATGGGAAAACTTGGTGACGAATTTGATTGGTAGGATTTGTCAGTCCCAGGCTTCCAATCCCATCGGCATGCGGACTTATATTAGATAAGCACTTGCTAGCCGGAGGCTCTTTTGCAGCCACAATGAGGATGGGAAGGGCAGCCACACCTGACTAATGCGGCGTTCTGGTGCCATGAAGGAGCTCCTACAAGGGTACTCCGTGCGCACCTCTCTACTCATCTTGTCATTGCTGGGATTCAACTACCTTACATCCAAACCTGTTGCGTCTATCAGAAATAAAACTTCGTATACAACTACGCCGGCAATGATATTTGTTGTTCTCAGCCATGATTAAACGCCCTTCACCTGGCATTCTCTCAACGGTCGGCCACGGCCTTCGGTCCAAGCACCGTCCCTCGTCGACTCTACGGAGCGCTCCCAAGATGGCTCCCGTCTGGCTACAACCCTACCTCGATCATTTGCCTCAGAAGAGCGCACCCAAGCTCTATGCTTGGAGCCTGTCCAATCTGGACCAAAATAATTCAGTCTTGAGCCCCTCGGCCAGTCGGTCAGATGGATCAATTTCTCATCAACAACACCGCAATCGCCAACAGCGTATCTACGTTCTTGGCGTTGGGAACTTAGGGATTCTCTTTGCCAGCTCGCTTGCGTCTCTACCTAATCCACCACCGATAACCCTCGTTGTTCACCGCAAAGAGCTTCTGCTGTTATGGAGACAGCAACCAGGTATCGAGGTCACTCGAGGAGACTCTACGCAAAAGTATTTGGATTTCGATGTGGAGCTATGGTCCGAAGAAGAACCGATCTTAGGTCCAACAAGAGAGGTTGCGGATGGACAAGAGATTTCCAACCTGATCGTAACGACCAAGGCATCCCAAGCTCTTCCGCAGGTTGATCGAGCACGTCGCTATCTCAATGACCGCTCCACGGTTGCTTTTGCTCAAAACGGCATGTGCAAACTTTGGCCACCTCACGGCGACTCCTACATGGCATCGCGGTATGTAGATACATCTGCTCGTCATCCCAACTGGCTGGCTTGTGTAACAACCCACGGAGTGACTTCGTTGGGCCAGTTCAAGAGTCTACATGCCTCCAAGGCAGACCTCAAGGTTGGGCTTGTGTTTCCAAACAATTCTGGCAACAACGGCTCTTATCTGTCGAATATACTCGCCGAATCACCTCACCTCAACGGCCATATCGTAGCACGCAACGAGCTATGGGTATTGCAGCTGGAGAAACTCGTGGTCAACTCTGTCATCAACCCACTAACCGCCATCCTTCGCTGCAAAAATGGCGATCTATTCACGAAACGGGACGGCCCCATAGCGAGCATCATCAATTCCCTGTTGATGGAAGCCAGCAATGTTCTTCAAGCCCTGATTAAAGACCGAAGCACCGAATCTATCCTACAAACAGTCCCTGGAATGCCATTGGCAGCGGAGAACGAGATGATCCGCAAGTACGGTCCTCAACGTAGCGATCTCCTGGACCGCTTTTCTTACGACAAGCTCAAGGAAATGCTTTACAGTGTTGGACATAAGGTCCGAGAAAATACGAGCTCCATGCTCCAAGACGTTCGTGCTGGCAAACCAACTGAGGTCAACGAGTTCAACGGATGGCTAGTTGAGATGGCTGCCTATCTCGAGTGTGGGATTAACGTTGTCCATCACAAGAATCTCGTCGATCTTGTGGAAAATGGCACGGTGTTGAACGAAGAGTCTCTCGGCCAGCACTTCTCCAACCTAGGAGACGACCACTAAGGTAGACTTGCCAGTCCTTGAATCCAGTATTCACACCGCTTCATTGCTTGGCCCAGGTCACAATACGGCAGAACACTGACGAGTCGCTGAGCAAGACGCGATGACACGTTCGCATTCCCCAGAATATCGTCGATCTTAGTCCAACACTTTACGAGATCGACCGCGATGATACTGGAAATATATTAAACGTCTAGGGTACAACCCTCTTGATGGTCGTGCACTCCATTCAGTCACTCCACTGGTCGCAAACTAGACGACACCGGCATGCCGTCCAACGGCCTACTGAATCAAGTCGAATCAACGGCAGAGATCCAGCATGAATTTGTCGTAGAAGCTACGGGGCAACCTTGTTTCGAAGACTTCGCCCACAGGTACCGAACCTCGGCGGGCGACTTCATCCGTCCGGCAATCACGCTCTTAGGGAAGCCACTGGCCATACTCGCGGTATGCCAACGTGGCACAGTCTCCTGCAAAGGTGACTCGTGTGCCCTTTACAAGGCAATCCCGGAGCCTGTTAGTATGATTTGGTGTGCAGTTGCACTCGAGGTGGTCTACTTCATTTGCCACGTTCGCTTGCTTGCCACCCCTTAAGAGACCACATTATAGCCATAATATCAGGCGTGATATACTGGTAGCCCACCAGGAGTGGTGTATCGCGTCAGGGGCGGACGGAACATCAGCGACTGCCATGGAAGTACCCGACCAGAAGACTTTTCCTTCCAAGGAAACGCCCACACTTTTGGCCCCTCAGGATTTGCACCCGCCGCTTACCTTTTGCCGACGATGCCGCCGAGGTGTGTGAGAAAACTCATGCGAAGCTACGCTCACGCCCTCTGGCATTTTATGACGAGCAGTAGATTTGCCTAATAACTAATGCTGCTTAAGTCCGCCTTCTGGTGCGCGGCATACTGCTCTCATCGCACACGTCATCGTGTGGGTGCCATGGAAGTAGTCTCGAAGTTTGCTCAACACATCAAAGAGAAGCACAGTCCAGTGCGATCACAAAAGAAACCGCCAGAAACAATGAGTGGACGGTCTTCGTGGATTGAAACGGCTACGTTTGTCAACTTATACAGTGGAAGCTAGCAATGCATCGGGTTCTGCCCACACAATCTCGATATTGATCTGTCATAAGAAGTGGATCGTCAGTGGCGGGCTACCAGTTCAAAGACGTTGAAAAGCTCGATCTAGAGTCAGCATGGATCTTGGGATCATCTGGCTTGAAGTCACGCCATTTCCTCTATAGCAGCAAGATCCGGTTCCTTGCATTCGGTCTAGAGCTTGCTTTTGCTCCCTCAAACATGACAACCCCTGGATGCTCGATGGCAGGCCGATGGATTGCCAAGCGGCGAAATAAGAAGCGGAGCTCAGGGCACACGGCAACCTCGAGACCTCAATCCAATGAGACAATCAATTCCTCCTCTTCAGTCGAGTGTCGCCATGCAACAATCATGACCGGCAGTGTCCCTCTGGGTTGCGAGAGAGCCACGCGGTGGAGAGAACGGCGGACCCAGTGATTGCTAATCATCAGCGCTCCATTTCCCAACATATGGATCCAGTTCATATTGATGCCTCAATTCTCCGATTGGGCGACAGGGGTTGAAAGAAAACTTCCGGTGCATATTTGACGGAGATTTTCCTGGCGATGCCTGTCTAATGGGTTCTTGTCAGCCCATTGCGGAGACTGTGGACGACCTCAATCTCGACAAGGCTAACAACATCCCACAGGCGAGTGATTTGGGGCAGCCAAGCTACCGGACCAAGCCCATTTCTAAGAGGAATTACAGAAATTCTCTAGCATACATCACGTTGATCTCACGCTGGCTCTTAATGCCAACCGTGGCAACGGAGGGCCGACTAAGTCTTGATTGGCACTCGATTAGGTACAAAAAAAGCGTTGCTGCATGGTTACATCACAGCGTCAACCCGCATGACGCATCTTCGAAGAATGTTTCTTTGGCCATTGACATTCGGTTTTCTCTTCCTCAACTCAAAGAATGGAGCCTTGAAAGAATCGAAAATCGTTCTCTTACTCAGGGCTATGGAATCGGTAAACCCCGACATATGCTCGGCGCTGAGGTCCTTGGCTGCAGTCAGCCGCTTGATCCAAGCTTTCCGGGCTGGGACACGGAGCAACCGGGTGGGAGAAAGGCCGCCGCAAGGGTTCCTTGACCACAATTTCAAAGTCAACTTTGGCCTTTTCAGCAATATCTCGGATTCGAGGATTCGAGAGACTCAGGCCAAGGCCTGCTGCCAATATCAAGTGTTCATACTCGAGATCTAAAGGCGGCGACCACAGCTGGTTTGCACATAGTCGGCCGACTGACCCGCCAGACAACCATATCAGCCCTAGACCATGATACGGGCCATGACGGTGCTGACGCCCCGGGGATCACACATAAACCATGTCCCCTGGTTCGCGCTGGAGGAAATCGAGCCAAGCATCCCCCGGCTTAGATACCGATCATCCTCACCATCTGGCCCGGCAGTTCACGTACGATAACCCATTATCAATCGCACATGAAGAGTTTCACCTGGGACGTCTCATGCGCTGAGCCAACCAACTTTTTCAGCATGAAGTTCGCGAACCCGTTGACATTCGTCCGAAGAGATGGCGAGCCGCTGACGGGGCATATAACGAGGTAGGGTTGGAGAAGAGGTTCAACTTCATGGTCAGGAGAGCGGGTTGTTTTTTCTCGCCCCTCCCTCTTTCAAACGTCGCTTGCATGACCACATGGCAATCTTCCGTGGGTGCCTTGGAGCCGCAACATCGTGGCGCCTGTTGTTTTGGCTTGCTTGATCTGCGCCATGCGACACGATATCTACCCTCTTGCGATTTGAACTGTCACAGCTACTGAAAGCTTAGATGTTTTGCAGAAGGATTTGATCGCTCGTCGCGTACGGCTTTGGAGCTTCAGGTCTACTCTCTATGCAAAGTGCGAGAGGGTGTCCGATTTGCGGCCCCCCACAATCGGAAAGTGGTCTCGGGAGTCACGAAATCTTTGAGCTTAAATTTGTTCAAAAAGTGTCTCAATAGTATAGCGGCGGACACGACCTCTCGAAGGGGTGTGCGATAGTTGGGTGGTAGTAACCCCATCCACAAGTAGCAGCCGAGAGCCGACATCTGGAACCCCAGGGTGCGGTTGGCCTTGCCTATTTCTCACACCCGTGGCCTGTCTAGTATCCGATACTGTTGGACGAAGCGCCGCGTAGGTCTCCGTACCCGATGCAGTGATGCAGGTATCACTCTGCATAGGGGGTGACATGCAGGAACCTCGTCGACCAAGGCTAACCCGTCACGTCACTTGTCACTGCGCGATTCACAACCTCTCACACATGGCACTACATCTCTGTCAGCGAGAAGAGAGTGGGAAGAGGCTCAGGCATGACAACATGTGTGGGAACCGCTCCGCTCGTGTCACGTTCCGGGGGCGATTGACCGCTTCTTTTTCCCCTGGATTTGCCTTCTGGCGGGTGACTGGGGGGACTGGGAGTGGGAGATGACGGGCTAGGGGGGGGGGGATATATCAGAATCCCCCGGGTCATATAACGAACAAAACCCTGGGGCCGAGTGTTTCAACGGGCAGAAGCCGCTGCCAAACCAACCTTTCTCGGTGGACGCAGAGCCAAACGAGAGCCTGCGCAGTGATCAATGGATTCACCAACGACTGGAGACTGGAAGCCAGCGGGAGATCCAGATCATAGGACGCTCATTGTAAGGGGGGTGGAGGAAGGACAACAAAGTCGTCAAAAGGGCCACCATCTTGCTCGATCACAAACCCCGAACTCGGCACATGCGGAGGACCAGAATTGCCAACACCCTACGGGGAGGCGCCTCTTCTTTTCTTTTTCTCGCCTCTGCTCGATAGCCGGTCCTGGTCTTTCCAGCAGACAACAGGGCCAACCTGCAGCCCGTCTCTACGTTACTGTCCACATCTGGTCATGTGGCGAACTCTGTGTCGGGACAGGAGAGAGCCCAGAGAGGAGAGAGAAGTACAGAGAGTGACACGGAGAGAGAGCCAAGGCAGGCAGGTAAGCAGGCCAAAGCAGGACCATTCTGAAGTCCTACCCTGTTCCCTCGTCTCCGAGCTCTTCGCACCTTTGGGTCTCTTTCCTGAATCCTGCCCGCCGCCATTCCCTTCCCTTCCCTCTAACCCCCCCGCTCCTCATTCCGCCATTACTCGCCAAGCCGATATTGGCCCAAAAGTCCAAACCGAACGCACCATCCCCAAGGCCCCAAGGCCCAGGCACAACAGAGGGAAACAAGAATAACAGCAGAAGCCTGAAGTTAACAAACTCGACCCCCATCGTCCTTCGCGCAAAAAAAAAAGGAACAGGCTTTTGAAACGGGAGCAAGAGCCAAGTTAGCCAAAATGTCAAGAAAAAGATCGCTTAAGAAAATACAGCTATCGCCTAGTTTCCGGATTTTAGCAGCTGCTAAACAAGACCGCCCGCCTGCCCGCGCGCGCGCCATCTCTTGACTCTTTCCCAACCCCCCGGGGCCCCTGGCCTGGTTCCTGGTTCCCCGGACTTTGCACTCTGACTCAAATCGGTTGGAGGATTGGACGCCGGGCTGCCGCGGCGGGCAAGGTAATCAAAACCAGCTGCCAAAAGCGGAATCGGAATGTATTGTTAATATAATTGCTGCCACACGTCAACTGCACGCCAACCCGTAGAATAAATTACCCAAAAACAAAAAACGTCCGGCCGGCCGTTTCCCCCTCCACCAGGGCCGCAAAAATAGGCCGCGCTACTGTAGCAAGGCCAAAAAGAGGTGTGTGCCTTGGAAGCCTCTCGTTTTGGGACGAGGCCTCGGGACCTTCGTGAAAGGGGGCGGCTCACGACCTACGGTAAGTAGAAGTCCCTAAACTCGACTACACGCGCCCCCAAGAGAAGTTGCACATTTGATGCGTCTCCCGTCCCGAAGCGGATGGATGGAATGGATGATAGGACAGACATGTTGCTTTTTTGTGATTTGCCCACCTACACACCTACGCCTGACCTTGCTTCTTTCCGTCCTCCCCGGAAGCGGTCGGTGCATGGTTTCTTGCAGACTGCTTGCTGCATTACGATGCCAATGTGATTCACAGAAGTTTATCCCCGAGGTTTCCCACTTGGGGGTCCGGGGGGGGGGGGGGGTAGTACTTTCTCGAATAGGGTATACCGGGACCGAATTAGTTGTGATTTTCCACTATACATTAATAAACAGAAGCACAAGAAACATGTTTCTCCATCTTCCTGCACGTTTTGTTTTCACATAATCGGGTTCAAGCAACAGCACCTCGAGAGATGGCTGCCGCTTTTGTTCCACTTCATACCATGTTGCGATCCTTTTCATGGGGCGTAAGCAGAAGCAAGTTTGGGACGAAGCAAAAAAAAAGGGGGTTGAAGAAGCTACAAATACTACAAAGTACATTTGCGTGATGTGTGGGGTAGAATCGAACAAAAAACAAATAATGAGCGTTTAGAAGATAACAAAACGAAAAAAATGGTCAAAAGTACAAAACAAAATAAACAGACGTCGTCATGGATGCGAAAACTGCGCGTGTGTCATCCGCCATGTATGCAAAATGCGTCTTTCCATCTGCATCTTTCTCCCCTTTTTGTGTTTTTCTCCTTCCACCCACAAGACGCCTAGGCATCATAGCCAGCTCACCACTAAAACCTCTTGTCCGTTGCATTCAGTACAGCCAAGTTTTCGAGAGTCGATTCTGCAGGCGTGTTGGTGTAGTAGACAACCAAATGCTGCAGGAAGACTGTCGAGTGCAACCGAATTTCGAGAGAATTGGCAATGGTAGATCCTTGGATGGGGCCAAAAAGAAGTTGATGACAATCGTCGAGAAGAAAAAACCAAAATCGTCTAAGGGAGCGTCGAGAGGGATAAAAGCAAGCAGAAAGGCCGTAGATTGCGTGGTTCGCTGTGTTGCCCCCCAAAGTCTATAGTGTGTGCGTTGTGTCATGAATCGAGATAAAGGAGTAGGTCGAGAAAAAGATGAAGTTAAAAAAGGTGACCCGTGGTGTTCGGGGGTATCTCTAGAATTAGGCGGATGGGGAATCCAGCAAAACAAAAGGACAATGCCACTCGAGAGTCGCAGGTATGAGGTAGAAGCCGAAGTGAACATGGCGAAGAAGTATTTATGGCCTCGGTGGTTCGAGGAAGAGCTGGCGCAATTCTTCGGGCCTTGCGTTCTCTGTGCTTTTCGAACCCAAGTCGTTACATGAAAAGACGTCGGGCAAATTATTGCAGATCTTCCTCCCCTACCAGCTCGCTGAGTCGAAGTGGGAGGACGGCGTTCGTGGAGGTCGATCTGAATGCTCCGGATGGGTAGTGTCGTTCCAAGTTGCATGATGGAGATCATCGCTAAAGGCAAGCTCCTCTTCATCACTGAAGCTGCTGCGTGTAGATTGTGTCTCCAGCCGGGGGCTCAGAAGTTCCCGGTGGAGACATTGAATGCTATAAGGGAGGGCCGCCCATTAACTCCTGCGTGCGTTCTCGGCAGGCAGCAGGGGTAAAGCCGGTTCCGACCTTGTTAGCGACGATACGCCATTTCTCATTCTCGTAGTCTTGTAGCGCGGTGCGAAGCTTTTGGTCCTAGAGGAATATTCAAGTCAGAATGCTGTGCGCGGCCTCACCATGCCCCGCCGTCTGGCTGTGCTGCATGGCATCGTAGTCAGGGGAGGGAAGAGCACATACCGTTTCGTCGGTCCATTGGGTGGTCTTAGCTTTGAGCTTCGTACAATAGCGCACCTGGAGTGTTCCTGATGATCTCCCCGGGAAGAAATCCGCGATTTGCTTCCATGTTAGGGATTTGTTCTCTTTCAGATCGATCAGGAGCTGGTCGTCTTCGGGTGTAAACTTTAGCTTCGGCCCCCTTGGCCTCGGTGCCGGAGTCGGCATGCCTGCTTGTCCCACGACGCTCGGGGCACCGCCTCTGTCTCCGCCGTCACCATCACGCCTCATCATCTTGGAAGGGGGTCCTGTATCGGGTAGTCGGTGGTGATGATGCGTAGGAGCCTGGACTTGCTGGGTCGCCTGCGCATAGGCGGTACCCAGAGGAGTCTGTTGCATGGTCTCGAGGTCCGTCTGTTCAAGATCGATCCCAGGAACGGACAAGTCAAGCTCGTCTGGTCTCGGTCTTTTCGGTGCTCCATGGGGCGTATGAGATTGCGTAGGCGTTGTCATGGATGGATACAAAGGAGCGACCACCGGACCCGGAGCGCCGTAGTGAGGCGGGCCCAAGTGCCGGGCGTGGCCCAGATGGTGCCCCGGATCCATTAGAACCTGGTGGGAGTGGTGAGAGTGGTGAGGGTGCTGCTGGTGTTGCTGCATGCCAGGATGATGGGAGTGATGGCTAGTGGGCGGCTCGTGGAGAGTGGGCGTGTGAGCGGCGCCATGATGGAGAGAGCTCCTATGGTGTTGATGATGTGAGGGCGTCGTGTCATAACCATGCTGCTGTTGGCCCTGGTCGCTCGGATGCGACTCCTGTGCAGAATAATCGACATTGTAGTCCCCTACTCGATAGTTGCCCGCCAGCGTGCTTCCGGCACATGGGTCCCGCCAGAGCGAACCGCTCTGGACGGTCGCCGGGCTCTGAAGTGAAAGAATTGGTTGAGCGAAGGCCCTCTCGGGCGGCGTCGGGAGAGGTGAGGGCTGTTGGTGCGACGTTGCGGGGTCGCGATGGTGGTGGTAGTCTTTCAAACTGCGATCCTGTAACAGCGCTATGGTGTCGCCGTGATGAGACCCCCCCTCCAGACTCAACGAACATTCGTGCCCGGGAGGTGTGGAGAGAATTTTCGCGGTATTGCTGGCAGCGAAGGAGAATGGTGTCTAGTGGCAACGGTCAAGCCCTTGCCAGATTTTGTGGTTGTGATGATGACCAGGTTGAATCTAGCGGTAGTGATGTTGGGGAGAAATGAGGAGAAGGACGAAGACGACGACGACGGTGATGATGATGACGACGGCTGAGAAATAAGACCAAGTTGGTGTTGCGGTTTCGTAGAACTTGACTCCCGGTGGTGAAGAGCTATCTGTCTGTCTGTCTGCACGGCCGGACGGATAGTTCCCTTTGACTGGCGTAAGGTGGGAAAAAAATTATTAAGACGAAATAAAGGTCGAGGTAACCATGCTACCCTTTTTCAACTGGTTGTTGTCACGCGCCGTTTAAGCTCACGGGATCTTCCCTTGACTTATTATAAATCCCGTTTGGCCCTGGACAAGTAATATAGTAGTGAAGGGGTCAAAAGAGAGGAAGCGCGGACGTGGGCAAGGGCTGCATTATATCGTCCGATGTGCCTTATCGAAAAGAGGAATAGAGGGCTGTGTGTGGACTCTTGCTCTGGGGGTAGAGAGAAGGGGACGAAGGAGAGGAGAAAAGCATGCATGGGAGGGGTGAGGCGAGAGAAAGAGGGTACATCAACTGCCGCTGCTTTTGTCACCGACATCTCAAGCACATACGCGATTCGCCATGTGCGAGACGTATTCTGTTCCTGAGTAGGTTGCGGAGACTCAAGTTAACCTTGCCCAGTAGGTGATGACGGTAGCATAATTTGGGGATCTTATGCCATGGGTTTCGCTGCCGGATATCGAAGCAGGAGTGCCCCCGGCCGGCGGTGATGATGCAACTGGCGAGGAGGTGGGCGTAACAGTGGCCAGCCTACATAGTATGATGGGCAGACAGGGTCGTCGGGGGAGACAAGCAATGGACCATTTCACAAATCTAAGAAACCTCCGGATGGAGTCGATCCAACCCTGTAGAGGGAGGCCGGACGACCCAGAGAGAAAGAAAAAGAGAGAGGTCTGGAAAACGCATGGAAGAAATCCAAGCACGTCCAGCCGAATGAGGGATACAAGCTGAAACGAGCCCTACCATGCGCTCGCTGGTTGGAAAGGGCATAGCAACTAAGCAGCAGCAGTTCAGAAGAAGGCCGCCCATGTTGCTCGGCCCCCTGCTTCACCGGGGAGAGAGAGGGAAGGGGAACCAGGGTGGCAGCTCTTGGCTCAACTCAAGGCAGTTGACTCTTGAGTGCGAATGTATATGAGCCTGTGTGTGGGTGTGCGCGTGTGCGTGGGCTCGGAAGCTCAAAGTCCCTGGGTCACCCTTCCCCTGGCCTCCGTCCTTGACGGGTGGCTTGCTTTGGGTGGAAAACCACCAGCGAACAGCGTAACTTGGACAGCTCTGCCCATTCTGGAGAATACAGTGGAGTCTGTTGGGGGGCAAACAGCAGGTTTTGGGAGAGAAAATGGCTGGATGAGCACCGAGAAGTCATGCCTTGGCCCTGATGGGGGTATATCTGATGCAGGGAGGGTATACCAGAACCATGAAGAGAAATCGCCGCTCCGGTACGCGATAGGGCCAGAGAGACGGTAAGGTTGCAACAACCACTCGACCTAGTGGGCAGATTGCCGAGGGGTGAGAACAAGGGACTGCCGGGTGAGAAAGACGGCGGGCACCAGCTCAAGCTGGTTGTATCCATTCGCAACGTCAGTCAGTCAGTCAGAAAGAAAAAAAGACCCTTTCTTTTTTAGTCCTGATCCCCTTTGCCGTCATCGGTGGCAGTGAGAGCCTGCTTCCACGTTCGAGGACCTGGTCAAAAGCTTCGGGATCGATTCGGAAGGGAACTGCAGTGGTCCCAGGAGGCAAATTATCCCGGCTGACCCAAGATGAAGACGTCCGCAGCAGGGGGATTTGCGTCCCAAACGCCAGAAAAGGCGTGTCAGTCGGTCTTCGCCTCGATGTCGATACGGTCAAATCTGGCAGGTCCCACAGGCAGATGCCAATGCTAGAGGAAGAAACAGAAAGGAATACGACTGCGATGGAACAGGGCCGAGATGAGAATGACGGCGGTGCCACGGTTGAGGTTCAGGTTCGGCAATGCGGCGGCTGTTGGACCAGGCGGGCGGCGCGCGCGTCGACTAGATGGGATGGTCGTAGGGTTGACTTGCACCGGACCAGACAAGACTGGTTAGCCTGTGGGGTAACAACTTTTTCCAATGAGGATATTTTTTTTTTGGGGACTTGGGACGTGTGCGACTCAATGACCAGGTCGCACGATGGTGCCGTCGTCGAAACCATGGGATGATAGAGGTTCGCTCAAGGTGATTATTCGTCTGTTTGCATGGGCGGGCGGGCGCGCAAACGTGCACGCAGCCGCCAGCAGTTCGAGTTCCTCTCGTCTTCTCACGAACTTGAGGGCATCCCCATATTGCCAGACGCGTGCGCTCAAGACGCGCACACAGTCTCCCGCGGCCTCCCACTCGACCGTACCACCCCCTCTTTCACCTAACCGTGAGCCGGGAATGTGGTGGGTGTAAGCAAAAGGACGGTACATGGCGTAAGAAACCCCCCCGGCTTTCGGCAGCAAGGAGATTGTGCGACTCAATGCACATCCCAGACTTTCGGTGCTTGATGGTAGGTCGGTAAAAAAAAAAAAAAAAAAAAAAAAAAGGGCCTGGGGAGTGGCTCGACACTCGACAGGCTCGCTCTCTCGCCGCTGGGCAAAGGCGAAAGTCGCAAGTACCTTCCATGGCTCGTCAGGGAGGGCAGGGCCGAACCAGTAGGAAGGGCGCTTGGACGAGAAAACCTGGGACGAAGACTCGACGGGAGGGTGGCCAAGGAGGGCACTCGGACAGCAAGAAGGCGGATGGCCGACACAGTTTGGTTTGGCGGTACGTTGGAGAATTGGCTCGAGATCCTCGTGTGGGCATGATGCGGCTGGCGCTCGCTCGTTGCTAGTGCTGGCGGCCAAGTTGACCTCATCGAGACATGACGGATCATGGGAAGGGGGGATATGAAGCTGGAGCAGGGGGTCAGACGGGTATCGCATGAAGGAAACGCGTTTCACGCATACCTGGCAATTAAAAGATCAATTATGCGACCCAGGGATCCCGGGCAATCTTTCTAGAAGGAGTGGGACTCTATTCTAGCGTGTGGTGAGGTGCTCACCTTATTTCTTCGTCGCTCAGCTAGGGGGAGGACTTTGGTCTTGGGGTCCCATTCTAGAATTTGAAATCGGTGACTGGGGGGGAATCCTTTGGGGCGGTTCCTGAAGAGACGGACGAAGTGCCGCGAATCAGATGGCTGGGCAGCGGTCAAGTCGGTCGACTCTGTGGGCACGGGGGATGTCGATCAGACGTAAAAAGAGGGCTTGGAAGGTGACGGAGTCGACGATGATGTGTGGTGATGAGGTGGAGATTGGAGGAAATGCAGGGCAGGCTGCAGATGAGATGCTGATGCGCAGTCATGGAGCAGATGACGGATGGGCAGATGAGACGATGAGAAGGGCCCAGGAGGCAGACGAGGCAGTGACGGAGACGGAGAAGGAGACAGAAAGAGAAGAGAGACTCAGACAGGGCCGAGACTATCGAATGACGGGAAAGGTAAGAAGGGGAGGTTCAGGCTTCGGAAGGTAGGCGCCGGGGACGGGAGTTGAGTGCAAGACGATTGAAGGAGGAAGAGATTGCGAATCTTGGAAGCAGCGACATGGAAAATGCGATAAATGCAGGTCCGAATTGAAGCGCCCAACACGCCGCAATTTTGATGTTTATTTTTTCCTTCAACATTGAAAAAAAAGTGTGGTTGGTTGGGTCTCAGATTTGGGTCAAGTTCATCTCACTTGCAAGTCACTTTGCTGGAAAACCAGGTGGAAAGATACATGGATTCCTGATATACACTTTCCCCCAGGTGTGCCATCCTGATGCCGAGACTTTTGTCTCGGCTCTTTGTCTGTCCCAGGAAAGAGGAAGGTGCGATCTACAAAGTACAGAGTTATTGGGAAGATAATACCTTCCATGCTTCATTCACGGGCCATGGCAAGTTCCATCATCACCTCACTTTGTAGAAACTAGAGATGAGACATGGCAGCCAGGCCAGACTGTCCACAAGCAAGGCTGGAACACACAGTCCGCATTGAGGGCCAAGCCTCCAGGTTCGACGTGTGTCGGCAAGGCAAGGTACCTCGTGCACGGAGCAAGGTACAAGAATCCGTACCTTACAGACCCCAGGCAAGGTACCTTATCTGGTACTTTACAGGCTTCCTAGTTAGCCGCGATGGTTTGACAGATGGGGCCGGCGGGTGCGCGTCAATGAGGTTGAGTGTCGTTGTGGAAGAACGGACGCAATAATCCTCGGCTCACGATCCACTCTTTCTCAGGTACCTACCTCCCATACCAATGAATATCCATACCTAAGGTACCTTAGTCTCCATTCTCGGAACTGGGTTACTGCAGTGTTGCGTTCTTGCCTCCGCCTGTCACGATTCTGCCCATCGTCGCGTAGTTCTTGCCGTGCCTGCCCAGCCTTGATGAGTAAGAGAGCGTCTGTCCACCTCTGGAAGTTATGTACTGTCGTCAGCCTGGCCCCTTCTCTCCTTCCGTCCTGACGTAAGGCGGGTGGTATCTTAGGTAAGGTAAAGGGCGCCCTGACATCGGGTTCCTCCCAGATTCCGTCGACCGGGACTGTAAGTGACGGCAAGAACGGCAAGAACTCGCTACCTTAGATGCTCGCTCCCACCTTGCTGTACCCTGCCCTGCATGTTTGCATCTGCGGAACGGAAGATGGAAGGAACGAACAAGAAAGGAATATTTTGAATGTGTAGATACTTCGTACTCCGTATAGAAAACTTTGGGGGAAGTCAACGAAATGGAAGTGCCATGTCGATGGTTCCTTCCCGTTCAACACTAGACCGAGAATGGGCAACCGGCCAAGAAACCCAAGGCAACTTAAGTTAAGGTCGGCTGCCTTAGGTTGCCCTCATCTCACGTCTGGTCTGCGCCTCCGGATGACTGTAGCAGTGTAGAGAGATGGGATGGGATGGGATTCTCCATTTTCCATCACCAATGCCTGCCTGCCTTTGCGGCTTTGCCAGAGCACATGCATGATGCGACGGCCAACAGTCCGAAGCCCAGATGACCACGGCAATCTTCGTCATCGTTCTCGTCCCGCATCAGAAGAGATTGCTATTGCCAATAGTCGACCCCCTCCCCGATGCTGGAGGATGGACCCCGGAATGCCCAAGCACGCCAACAACAACCTACGAATACGCAGGTACCTTGCCATACCTTACAAACACTTTCTGGCCAAAGGTAAAGCATCTTGCATCCGTCTCTACACTAGAGGGCGCGGCGCACCTATTCCACCGACCACACCGCACCACCCGACTGATCCTTTGCTGCATGCGAGCCCCTTACAGAATGCCTGGCTGACTTCTTGCATGCATCGCATGGCTTGCATCTCGGTAGCTCGGCTCAGAAAGGGAAGTGGTGGGTAGGGTTACGATTGCGACTGCCAGCGGTACATCGTCCTCGCCCACGTTCATGGGCTCATTGAACGTACCGATCCTTACCACGCCCTTTTTTCCGCTTCAGCTCTTCATCCACTTTCCGAACCGCGATCCCCCACGAACATGACGCCGCTTTGTGGCCTCGCCTTCGCGTCGCCCTTTTTACCGCATACTTTTCTGACTCTCTTACACGTGTCTGGGATTATCCTCTTCGCCCAGTCTTGGACGCTCGAACCCGCCGCAAAACCTTCTTTCACATTCTCGAGTCCGGACCGTCGGTATACACCAGATGACAGCCGGCGCTGTGCCTGTATGCAAGTTGTTGCAAGCCAGGGCCAGCCGTGGCCGATTCTTGGACCTGCTGGAGGGGCCTCTCCCCGGACTCGAGCCGAAAAAGTCTGCTGCGCTTCAGAGAAGGGGCATCATACGATCAACCTCGTTCCTGTGGCAGCGGTGCCCCTGCATCGCCTAGGGAGCCTCCAAGGGCCCTGTATCGCCTCAGCCCAAAGCTTGATGAACCTTCGTCCGCTTGGCGGTTTGGGTATCCGGTCGGCGGAAGCCGTCTTTTTCCAGTAAGGATATGGAGTACGGAGTACGGACGGTATTACTAATTACCTTGTCTTTGCGTTGCACGGCGCACGTAGGGACATTCTCTTCTGTCTACCTACACTATCCGTAGTCCGAGGTGGCTAGCTACTATACTACACCCCGCACACTGCAACCACCACACTTACAAACTTCCGCAACATGACTTTGTGCTACACCAAAGAGCCGCTTCTTCGTCTTTGTCCAAAGTCTCGCAACAAATCTAAAGCTATCAACCCGTACCCTGGAGCCGAGACTAGCAATCGCTTCCGTCCACCGGGACCCCCCACTTGTCTCGAGGCCTTACTGCCGCTTGGCTTTTGGGGATTTTTGGAGAAGCCCGTTGAGTCGCGGGTGTTTGCAGGCAACCGGGTAGGGATCCCCGAGGTTGTCACAACTCACACTAAACTTGGTGGGTTTCTGTGCTAAACAGCAGGTCAACCTTGAATGCGCTCCAGGGTTCTCTGTCTCAATTCTCACGAGCCTTCGCTGCTCTTAGTACCCAGTTTCTTGTTCAAGGGACCCGGTCAGCGTTTTCCTTTCGGGGACCCTTCACGAAACCAGCCCTGTCCAAATTACAACACCTGTCCTCCAGCTGAAGGTTAAAGCTGCAAACGTGTCGCGGGTTTGCGCCGGCCTGCCGATTCCGAGCGTCTCCTGAGATCCGCGACAGTCCCTCCACAAGACGTTTGATTTACCTTACGCCACCTCGCGCATTTCGGCTCGACTGACCAGAAACACAAGATCGTGTCCAAGCCTCGCATCAGCTGAGAAAGACGAGCACGATGTCGATACGACAGCGAGCCAGCCAAGGAAATTACCGGCTTCAGCTGACCTCCTGGATAACTGCCGAGAGGAACTTTTTTCACAGCAATCACGAAGCAGAGTCCAGTAACAAAGCAAGAGCCAGAGCCATCTCCGGGCTGCCTCATCTCCACTCACCAAGCCTAATAGTTCGTCCCTACCTTCTTGGAGAGCTCGCCCGATGCAGTGCAGCCTCTAAGTGAGTCGACGGGGGTTGACCCAGAAGTTATTTCGATGTCTTCATGCGCCGCCCTGTGGCTCATTCCACATCTGCTCGCGTGCGGCGTCGACCCTCTCAGATCGCCAATTAAGGCCCCCAAAACAGCCACATCTCCACGACCAAAAATATCCGCTCCTTGCCACACTTTGCTTTTCTCGAACCCTTGTTCGTCCAACGAGGATGCCAGGACGAGCCCCCATTCCCGACGGCCTGGGCCAAGAGACGCCCAGTACGGAATGAATCGCCATTGTCAGCCGCACCTAAAGCCCATCCCGACTCCATCTCCAAGGATGCCGCAGGGCGATGACGTTTCGTTCCGTGCTCGCAATCTTAGGACACAGACAAAAACGCCCGAGAGGGACGGAAACGCGTTCGCTCTCCATGGCAATATCTCAACCACGCTGTCGACATATTGGCCATGAACCCCTCCTTATCATCTCTCTACTAACATGCCCCAGTTGCAATATCTACAGGGCAACTAGCCGCTCCAAATCGATCCAAGTGGGAGCGTTTCCGTCGCATCGGTGCTGAACATCTAGCTGCCCGTCCAGAGCAACAAACAGGGGGTGCGTTTTTCCTCTCTCCTTCTCCCTTCCCGTTCTTAATTCTTGCCCTGGCGCATTAATGCATGAAATCTCCAATTTGCGCGGACCATCTACCCCGCTGAATCAGCGATTAGAATGCCCACCATCTTCAACGGCCTTCCCGCCGCCTTACCATTTGCAGCCCACGTCGTCCGAAGAACAAGCATCGACGTCGCGCGAAAAAGCCAACGGTTGGAGCCGTAAGCGGAATACGGCATAGTAAAGGCCACCACCAC